GCATAAATATAATGCATAAGCCTTTTATCGTTTAATAAAACTTATTAATTAATACTAACCTGTGATACCAAGTTTGTACACCACAAAACCATCCTGAATGTTGTCATTCTCGGCAGAGTCGTTTACTCAAGGGGAAACGGCAACAGAAAAAAAAGATAAAAATAAGCCCTGATTGACAGATAATTATACATTATTTGGAGTTTTCAACGCATTTCTGGAATTTGGTGATAACGACTGTATTTCACCACATATAATATTTCTTTGTACTCACTTTCCTGAGAACTCTGAATTAATGTATCCTGAAATAAGCTGAATTTATATAATATTGATTTATTTATTTTTTATAATTTTATATTTCAATTCAAAATAGTTTTTTAATGGCTTGTGAAAACTTAATTTAATACAACGCTTTTTGGCAGTAGTGTTCGCGTTAACATGTAAATATTACTATTTTTTACTATTCTTATCGTTCTGAGCTAAATCCCTGAAATGGCGGATTAATGAGCTACTCGTTCCCAAAACTTTGAATATGCGGAGTACTCAAACTCAAGTTATTAGGAGAAATTTAATAGTCAGTGGCACAATTAATGATTATAAATAAATGATCATACTGTTGTCATGCTCTCGCAGTGGGTCAGTGGTAAGGGTACGGACTTACAACGCTAAAATCCGATGTTCGATATCTCGCGGTGGCTAGAGAGTAGATGTTCACTGTGTAGCCTTGCACCAAGAAAACAATAAAGTTGGGTATAAAAAGGTTATGTTTCATAATTAGTGTTAAGCACTCATATGTACACAAATGATTTTTCCTTGGTGCATGAAAACATTAAATATTCAGAAACACATAACTAACTTTGTTATGTATTATATGGTCACATTGAAGGGCCTTAAACACGTGACTGCATTATCTTTTAAGTAGGAAGACCCCCCCCCCCCCTCAGTGACACAGCGGTATGTCTGCGGACTTACAACGCTAGACACCGGGTTTCGATCCCAATGGTGGGCAGAGCACAGATAGCCCATTGAGTAGCTTTGTGTTTAACTTAAAACAAACAATCAGTATGATGAAGTTCACGTACTCAAAAATCTTAACAAGTTGTTTATAAAAAAATCAAATATTCCGGGATGAAATAAACATCAGGAAAACCAATAGCTAATTAAATGATAATATTGACAACATCAGGAAAACCAATAGCTAATTAAATGACAATATTGACAACATCAGGAAAACCAATAGCTAATTAAATGACAATATTGACAACATCAGGAAAACCAATAGCTAATGAAATGACAATATTGACAACATCAGGAAAACCAATAGCTAATTGAATGACAATATTGGCGCCACTTTCTTTTTAACTAAAGCAATTTTTTCGCCCGAAGTAAATAAGGGGCGAGTTTTTTAAGTACAAAATTTAAAATTAAAATAAAGTGACACCCAGCAATGTAAGTTGTCCGTTATTTTAAAATAAAGAGACACCCAGCAATGTAAGTTGTCCGTTATTTTTAACACATCCTATGACTGGTAATATTTTATTATCTCAGTAGAAGCAAGGTGAAGAAAATCGGATGATGATAGAATTTCTGGCATTTTCTTACTTAGGATGATCGTGTGTGGCCTAGTGGTTAACGTACTGAGCTGTGAATACCAAGGTCCATGGTTCATATCTCGTTGCTACAAAATCACGTTCCGCACTTTGAAGCCGTAGACGGGTTATAAGAGTGACGGTCAAATTCTACTATTCGATTAGGTATGAGGAGCTCAATAATTGGCAGTGGGTGTTATTGACTAGCCGCCTTTCCCTCTAGTCTATCAGTATAAAATTAGGAACGGCTATCACAGATAGCCCTCGCGTAATTTTTCGCGATGTCCAACAAACACACAAATAAATAAAAGTCTATCAATTCGAAATTAGAAACGGCTAGTACAGATAGTCTTTATATAGTTGTGTTTGAATATCCAAAACAAACATCTCTAAGGGTTTCTCTTTCTGAAGCCTCCCAGTGGCACAGCGGTATGTCTGCGGACTTACAACGCTAGAAACCGGGTTTCGATACCCGTGATGGGCAGAGCAGTGTAGCTTTGTGCTTAACCACAAAAATTCTCTCTCTGGAAACTATTTATCACACAGAAATATAATTAAATCGTAAAAGAAAACTTCTAAAATTACTGTATTTCATCCTTCTTACTCACACATCTTCCTCTCAACACACTGTAGATCAGGAGTTTCCAACCAGGGATGTTTCCGCCCCCTGGGGTGCGAAATGAGGGTCCAGGGGGGGAGGCGCGGAAGAGGCCTATATAGGGTCCGTTTTTTCTCCAAATGTCACCAAGAGGAAATGTCTAATGCACACTTTTTAGGGGAGAGGTGCGAGGGCCACCAAAGGTTGGGAACCACTGCTATAGATGATACACGTATATAACATTTTCGAAGTTCAGTAACTGGGGGCGTATAACCAAAAATATTGCCACTCTCCAACTTGCGTTTAATCACTTTGCATAGCACGTACAGTCCTCATTTAAAAATGTACAGTTTGTGAAAATTTAACGTTTGGCCTCCTTACATTTTATGTAAGAAAGTAAAAAAATAAAGACTCGTCTATTTAAGGGCCCCCCATATAGTCTTTTATGCCAACATATTATGTATTTGTTGTTATTGTTTCAGCTATTATTTAGATTACTTTTTATTGATTTATTTTTTCTTCTATTTTTTATATGCGTTTATTTTTTTAGCTGAAATTAGTTGAAATGGCTGAAATACTGACTTCAATGATGTTGTTTTTTGAGTTTAAAAGAACACTCATTTAAAGCACTAGGGCCCTCCAGTGGCATGTCTGTGGAAACCGGGTTTCGATACCCGTGGTGGACAGATAACAGATAGCCCATTGTGTAGATTTGTGCTTAACTTCAAACAATTAAAGCACTAGCGTAAAAATTTGGAGGGGGGGGAAGGAGCAAATGGGCCATCTACCTCCCCTACCTTCAGAAAGATTGTTTGTTTGTTTGAATTTCTCGCAAAGCTACACGAGGGCTCTCTGCGCTAGCCGTCCCTAATCTATCGGTGTAAGACTAGAAGGAATGCTGCTAGTCATCACCACCCACCGCCAATTCTTGGGCTACTCTTTTGCCAACGAATAGTGGGATGGACCATCACAGTATAATGCCCCCACGGCTGAAAGGGCGAGCATGTTTGGTGGGACGGAGATTCGAACCCGCGCCTCGCACATTGCGAGTCGAGCACCTTAACCACCTGGCCATGCCGGGCCCCTTCAGAAAGATGGCTTCTGAGTTTTGTACAAAAATTTAGAAATCAAGGAGATAATAAAGAGATGGGGAATTCAAAATAAGTTATATTTTTATCTTGAATGATAGTAGCATTGTGTTTCTCAAAACTGTTTATGTTCAATAAATTGCTAAGTTTAATAGATTCAACTAGAGCTAAAACTGATCTTCACGGAAACATCTCTTTCTCATGGATCCCTTGGTAATTTAACTCCCCCATCCATCTCCAAACCCTGATTATGCCATTACTTTGATGTTAGGGCAACTGACGTGTAGCGATAAAGCAACATCTTATGATGTACTGGTTGAAGAACACAACTTCACCACAGTTCATGGAAAGAGAGAAAAAGAGTGCTAGGCCTAAAATTTTCAAACAATTATTCAGCCAAAATTAACATAATGAAAAATATCAATTTTACCTATTGATTAAATTCAGTTGAAAAAAATTAGTGAATGTACATGCTGTTGAAAATTTGGAGATAATCCTTATTGTTATGGTTTGTGAATGTTGTTTCGTATTTTATGTGAACGTTGTTTCGTATTTCTTGTGTCACTTTCGCATGTTGTGTGAATGCTGTTTAGTATTTTTTTGTGTCACTTTCGTATGTTGTGTGAACATTGTTTAATATTTTTTGTGTCACTTTCGTATGTTGTGTGAATGTTATTTCTTATTTCATGTGTCACTTTCGTATATTGTGTGAATTTTATTTCTTATTTCATGTGTCACTTTCGAATGTTGTGTGAATGTTGTTTCTTATTTCATGTGTCACTTTGGTCAACACACTTTTAGTTATTACAAATTATATGTGGTTTAGTAACTGCTATAGCTTTAACTCAAGGTAAGCTCTCTAGTATATACACTTCTATTTTGAATGCGTGTAAATACCTTTCTCAAAACAAAAGTTTGACGTTAGAAGCTTTTTTGTGGGTTTTTTTAAGCGCAAAGCTACACAATGGATTATCTGCGCTCTGTCCACCGCGGGAAACCTCACCCCACCCCGAATTTTAGCATTGAAAGTCCGAGAACTTTTCGCTGATCCACCGGGAGACGACCTTAGAAGATTTATTGAAACAAGAGTACAATTATATAGGATTTTATATTCATTGTTAAAATTAACCTATTTCTAATTATACATGATGTTACATTCATTGTTAAAATTAATCTATTTTTAATTATACATGATGTTACTTTTAACAATGAATATAACATCGTGTAATATTAAAAATAGATTAATTTTAACAATGAATGTAACATCATGTATAATTAGAAATAGATTAATTTTAACAATGAATATAACATCATGTATAATTAGAAATAGATTAATTTTAACAATGAATATAACATCATGTATAATTAGAAATAGATTAATTTTAACAATGAATATAACATCATGTATAATTAAAAATAGATTAATTTTAACAATGAATGTAACATCATGTATAATTAAAAATAGATTAATTTTAACAATGAATTGAATCTATTTTTAATTATACATGATGTTATATTCATTGTTAAAATTAATCTATTTCTAATTATATATGATGTTATATTCATTGTTAAAATTCATCTATTTCTAGTTATACATGATGTTATATTCATTGTTAAAATTCATCTAATTTCAATTATACGTCCCTTTGTCTTCCATAAACGTGTCTGAATAATATCACGAAGGAAAACTAATTCAAAATAATTTCATTTTCCAACATCTTCCACCAGCAGACGTAGAGGATGACAGCCAATCACCAACTGGTACAAAGGGAAGCAACTGTTGTTCGGAAAAGTTGCGGCGCTCAACTTTTGGGATCCTTTTGACGCTGCTACTTGCTAGCTCGTGGATTGGAGTAGCACATATGGTCAAGCTAACCTATATCACTAGTATTCAGTCTACATCGAATGTGGTTCAGAATTCCACCAACGAGCCCACAGAAGATAGTACACTAAATTTTGACGCTCGTCTACAGTTGACTAAATTTAATGCACCTTTCTTCACAACTTGGTTTTGCACCTTGTGGAATATTTTCTTTTTCCCAATCTATCTGGGTTCCAGGATACTGAGACAATCTGGAAAGGATAGAACAAAAAGAGTTATATTGTAAGTTATTTTTATTGTTACTAACCCAAGCGTTATACCTTAATATTTTGATAATTCGGAATATTTAACTTATGACAATAAATTTCTAAAAATGAATTTAATTTAGATTTTAAAGTAATTCTGATATTCTGAACAACTTGCGAATGACGCTGCACATATGAAATAAATTCCAGGTGCAACAAGTGTTATGTTTGATTTTGACATCTATCTCCTTAAGGTCAATTGTTATGTGAACTTTATCAGTACGTATGATGCAACGTGTTTTCTAAAACACGTGTGTTTTTACTCAACATTAAACATGTTGAATTTCTGAGTAATATTTACGCCTAAAATTCATTGGATTAACATCATCTCCTAGGTCAAAGCGAATTTTAATTTCATATCTCGTATTTTTGTGATATTTACTATTTCACAGTTTTTGTGTGTTTTTTTATATATTCAGTTTTGCGATATTTTACTTAAGTAAAACGTCTTTAAACTGACAGTGAGACAGATATTGTTTCTGTATTGTAGTCTTTAGCTAATTGATAAACTTATGATTTCAGTGTTAGAGATTACAAATTGATATACACTCGACTATCTTAATGTCATATTTGTACACATTTTCTAATCATTAGTCTGATTTTATAGAAATTTTAGCTTTTCGATTTTTTTCTTCAAGTTTTTACAAGTTTAGAATGTTGAGTATGTTATATTAAAACGATTTTGAAGACTCAACACGTCGTTACAGTTCATGTCGCCACGTCCTGTCAGGCTCAGATTACCGTGCATCTTAAGAGTACCCTTGCAACGTAGTTTACATTGCAAAGGACTCCGTCGTAAGGCCATCCAGTGGCTCAGCGGTAAGTCTGTGGAAGTATATAACACTAAAAATCGGGTTTCGCTTTGTGCTTAACAACAAACAAACGAAACCGTCGTGAGGATGTCATGTTCAAAACACACCTCTCCCAAATGTAGCTTTCTCTAATATTTCTATTCTGCACGAGGTCAACTGTTTCCAAGCGCCCGTTTTAACAGCCCAGATGCTTAGAAATCTATACGCGCTACATCCAGCGACTTGATCGGACGTCTTCATACGGAATAGAACGAATTATTGTTTCTTGCGATGGTTGGACTGATATGTTGTGGAAGCCACTTGTGATGGTTTTCCAGATATTGATCCTTCTTGACTGTTGGTCCTACTGTTGTCTAGGTGGACCAACAGGTCCCATGTTGTCCCAAAACGTTATCTTATATTATACTGTTGCCTAGAGCAAGTGGACTGCTTTTTGCTTACAACGGCTGGGGCACGACTTGTTTCTGATTTCTTTCCGGATAGTCCTAGTCGCCCAAACTGATCCATATCCCTTTGTTTTCCAAAGCCATTAATTACGAGATATATTTTCGTCTTGGAAATTATAAATTCCCGATCTTAACTCGTCTTTATAATCTGAATGTGTGAATATTTTGCATCGCTAAAGGTGTTACACACGCTTCCCAAAATCAATCAATTTTTGGTGGTATCACGTAATATCCAGGTATCACTAGGCAAATGAATCAAAATCCACTTTTGATTCATAACGTTTCGCCAGACTTCATATCGGCTGTGGTTGACATGTGACTTTCTGTTGTACATATTCAAAATAATTTTGGTATAACACACTCAACTCTCTATAAAAATATACTTTTACAATGAATGAAAAAGTAAATTATCCACCTAAGTCTGTGTGCCTAAAAAATAAACGTTTTCTATACCATTTGTTCGTAGACATTTCTACTCGTTCATAGCGAAATATTATATCATAGAGATAATAAACATTTTCTAAACCATTTGTTCGTAGACATTTCTACTCGTTCATAGCGAAATATTATATCATAGAGATAATAAACATTTTCTATACCATTTGTTCGTAGTTGGGCGCTCGACTCGCAATCAGAGGGTCGCAGGTTCGAATCCCCGTCACACCAAACATGCTCGCCCTTTCAGCCGTGGGGGCGTTATAATGTGACGGTCAATCCCACTATTCGTTGGTAAAAGAGTAGCCCAAGAGTTGGCGGTGGGTGGTGATGACTAG